GGTATACGGTAAGATAATGAAATATCGATCCATTTTTATAACCACCGCCCTGTCTCTAATCTCCTCTATGTCTCTCTCCCTCTCCCTCTTTTCCGCTCTGCCCTTCCCTTTCCCGGGGCGCCCCCATCATCCCGCCCTGGGCCCGAGACGCGACGCGTCCCAAGAGCGTAGCGGCACACTGACAGGCGTAAATTGGAGCCTTGTGTAGCTGAAACGAACGACAAGCTGCAACAAGAGAGACCCTCACGTTTCGGAATTGCAAAAGGATACCTTAGAGATACAGTTTGACCCAGAATCCAGCTTTTAACCGATATTTTAGCCTTTAAAACATTGATTTTAAGTGTCGGAGCGTAAGACAGTCCTGTGGGGGTAATAAACTTTTTATATAGCTTCCAACCTAATAAATATATTCATACAGTTTTTAATTCAGATATATGATTTGCGCATTTTTATTCCGGCGAAAAACACGAAATTCCGTTCCGTTCGACACCTTTGTACAATTTCCGTAATTTGGTGTCGCACGGAGCCGCTGGAGATCCGAATTTTTCGAAAGGTTTTGATTTTGCAATTTTGCGGTTTTCATGGTTTTTTATGCTTTATTCCTTTTACTGGTTTGAAGAATTGCATTAAACTAAGGATTAACCTAGTTGACTTATTTTGGCTTTGAAAAGCATGATTTTAGTGAATTTGCGTTGCTCTCGGAGCTTTTTTTATAGGCCAGAGACCATTTTTCTCTGTTTATTGTCGTCTCTGCTTCTTTTTTATGAATTTTTATTGATTTTCAAGCGTTTTAACTTTAAAACTTTTCAGCGATGACGACCGCCCATCGACCGACGTTCAACCCGGCCCGCGGAGGCAATGACAGGTAATTAAAAAGTATAGTTTTTGTTTATTTTTGCTGTTTCAGGTCGGAGGGTGACCTGTCGAAGCTGTCGGCCCAATACTCGAGCAAGGACATGCCCTCGCACACGAAGATCAAGTACCGCCAGCAGGGTCAGGGCACCAGCGACGAGCTCAGGAAGCGGGTCCGTTTTTTCAGGTTTAAATGACGTTCTTTCAATGTTGCGAAGCAGTTTGCAATTTTTCATACAGCCTAGAAAAAAATTGATCTTTTTAAAACCGTCGGAAAGAGCAAATACACGTCAAATTTTAGCATCGGGCCGGTTTTTCTAAGTTTCTCGATGGGAAACGGGGCCCATTCGCTAGAGCGCGGAATTCTTGACCAGTTACGGCCGAGAACCATTTCCGGAGACCCAGAACCGAAAAAATACCTTCAATTTGTACATGTTTGCGGCTGCTAGGTGACTTTGGAATTTTTAGAAGCGAGAAACGATCAATTCGGTTCTATAGAAAATTCCGAAGAAGCCTTAACCTTCGAAAAGCGCAAAATTGTTTTTCTAAAACATTTTTCCAATTTTCAGGACCTGCGCCGCGAGCTCGAGGACAAGGAACGGTCGGCAGCGCGGGAGAAGCGCGCTGGACGCGAGGGCGGCTCGAGCTCATCCTCGAAGAAGCCGCGTTTCGAGGAGATTGCCGCCTCGACGAAAGATATCGACGCCGACGAGCCGCTCGAGGAGGTCAACGACTCGGATGATGATTCTGATGATGATGACACGGCCGCGTTGATGGAGGAGCTGGCGAGGATCAAGAAGGAGAGGGCTGTCGAGAGGGAGGCAAAAGAAGACAAGGAAAAGGAGGAACAGGTACATTTTCGAAGTTCCTCATATGATTTCCGCTAGCGCGCCTTCTAATTTATTCATTTTTTTGCAGGAAAAAATCCGCATGGACAACGTGCTCCACGGCAACCCGCTGCTGAACTTTGACAAGGAGCAGGGCGAGGAGGGCTTCAAGGTGCGGCGACGCTGGGACGATGATGTCGTTTTTAAGAACTGTGCTAAAGGTATTGTTGTTACAGAATGGAGAAAATTCTGTGCAGGATATAACTTTTCAAAAGTAGAAAACGTTCGAGAAGAATTGGTTTTTAAGTTTGAACTGTCAAGATTTATCGCTTTTCGTTCTTTTTGCTGCTTAAAAAGCCTATTATTTGTTCAGAACGATACGGCAGACAATTCTGAAGGATTTGTAGCTTCTAAAAAAATTTAGATTGCCTAGTAAAATTGGTTTTCAAAATAGATTTTTCTCGAATTTCTCGAATTCAAAACTCGGTCTAATAAACCATATTTCTATTTTTTCAGGCCTCGACGAGCGCAAGAAGGAGTCGACGTTCATCAACGACGCCATCCGCTCCGAGTTCCACCGGAAATTCATGGACAAATACGTCAAATAAGCCGTTTTACGTCGATTTCAATTCTTTAAAATTCTCCTTGTTTGACGCTTATTTGATTACTAAAAATCCACAATTGTTTCCCTAGCTTTTCACTTGAATTTTCCAATCTAAAAAAAATCCCGTTGCCCCAAATTGTCGATTTTCACCTTCTTGTCCTTTCGTTGTTTTTGCTATTTGTGATTTTATTGATTTTACACGCGTGCGCCGATTTATGATAAACGTGTAAAAAACGAATTCTCGTATTTATTGATTTCAAATATGTTTCAACAGAGCGACGCTACGATCTTGTAGTATCTGAATAGTTTATTATTTGGTCGTGGAGGTTTTGTTGATTTTTCGAGTGGTTGATGCTTCAAAGTTTATTTTTACGGCATAGTTTCTTGTTGGATATTTTCCATAGATCATCCTCGCAATCCCAGCCTTTTAGGCCCTTTTTTATATCAGAAGCTCTCGTTTGCCATTTTTGTTAGCGATAACGCCCCGATTTGTGTATTTTGTGCCCCGGAAGTTGCTAGAATTAGTTTTAGGCTTAGAAAAGTTGGTTTGAAGTTAAAAATCATGCTTCAGGCTTTGAGTAGTTTCGCGTATTAGAAGAGCTTCTGCGACTGGGTTCTACAGCGCTCGTAAAGCATTTTTCGTAGTGAAAACTAGCCAGATTTGTCGATTTTCGGGCCGAGAAATCGGTAAACCGAATAGTTTTACGCTTAGAATAGTCGCTGTGAGGTTCAAAAGTCGATGTTTCTAGCTAAAAGCCAGCGCAAATGGTTTATTTTTTGCGCAATACGATCTCCTAGAACCGAGGCTCCCTCGCAAAAACTCGCTTTTTTGAGAGGGCCAGCTTTAACCTTTTTTCAATCGTGATTTGTCCAGTTTGGAGCCCCTTTTTTCGTTAGGAAAGGCGCGCGAAAAAGATGGGCCGAGCTTTGAAAAGTTTAGAAACTTCCGGTTTTGCTTGAGAACTGAACACCATCCTTCTATCCCGGTATGAAACAAACACGAAAAATCTCCTTTTCCTGCAATTTCTAAAACCTATTCACTGAGAACCCTATTCTCACAACAGGAATGCGCAGAAAAGACGGCGGCTAAGCTTGGAAAACTGAAAGCTTCGAAAGCTTCCGGTTTTGCTGTAGAACACCTACCTAACGCCGCCTAACGCAGTTTTTAAAATTTGTAGATTTCTCAGTTTAGGGTCTTTCTTCGCCAGGCCGAGCGCGCAGAAAACGACAGTCTTAGAAAACTTAGAATTGAAACCCTAGAAAACTTTAACAGCTTCCGGTTTTGCTTTAGAACACTTCCCTGATGCCGGCGCGAAGCTTTTGAACTCGGAACTTGGCTCGGGGGCTTATCCCGCCCGGACATCTCGATCGTCGATCGGCCGCCACGTTTCGCGGGGGGCTTTTCCCTCTGCTCTTCTCGTTGCCAGCACCCGATCCACGCCCTGCTGCCCCATCCCCCCGAAATGGGCACAACCAACCCATTATATTTATTCGCCACACCGCCGCTTCTCCCTGCCCCTGTTCACACATTTCGCTATAGCGAACGACGCCGCGTGGAGAATCGACTCATTGGCATTTTTGGAGTTTGGAATTTTGCGGCGCGCTCGATCGTTGATGTGGGTAACTTTTTGGGCTCGGAAAACGCCAGCTATTTGTTTCGGAAACTTTAAAAACGTTTAGAAAACTCGTCTTATCCCCCTGCTTTCCCTTTCTAGAGCTCTTGATTGAAATTACAGCTAGCAAATACTTTTGGCGGAGGATCTACTGTGTTTTCAGATGTGTAAACTTCAGGTGCTCACTCAAGCTGCTACTTTGAAAGGCTCGCCTAAACTGGCTTTAGAATACTTTAGGAGCAAGAAATCTACAAAACGCTAGAGTTTTTCGAGCTCTGTTTTCTGGACCGGCTTTTTTTTTGTTGCAGTGGATAATAGGAAAACCGTTTTCCGCTAACAAAAGATTTTTTAGGCTTAGAAACGTTAGAAATGCTCTCCCCCCTCCGCCCCTTGTCCTTGTGAAACCTCGCCTTGTCCTCGCGCTGCCTTTATAGACTTTTATTCAACGATATGGCTAACATTTTAGACCGTGTATAAGCTAGCATTCTCCATTTCTAACGCTAGAAATGTCTGGAAAAACTGGATTTTAGGCCTTTTCAGTTGTTGCTTGTATTGCTGCTACTTTTAGGCGCTTGGGACCTCTGAGAACGCCAATTTGTGCACCCTCACACCGTCTAGGCCTTGAAAACGACGCTGTGAGGCCTGACTCGCGCGATTTCGGGGAATGCACAAGATGGGGGCGTTTGAAAACGTGCTGTCCTAACTCTTGGGCTTTTGAGGAACCGAAAATGAGAGCTCGCGTCTTAAAAATGAAGAAATCCGCACCCTTGCAGGGGGTTATCTGCAATAAAAGCGCTTAGGTTTTGATTTTGAAAGTCGCTTAAGTTTTTTAAAGTTTTGTCGAAGGCCCCGCTCTTGGGTCTCTCGCTGAAAAGTCACCATTTCGTCTGTTTTCCATTTGCCGCTGCGTTGACGATTGTTTTCTTGTTTTTATGACAAATGCCAGTTGGTTTTTTCTTTTAAATGGCTGCTCCCGTTTTCCGATGATTTTTATTTATTTTTTATTGGTCCCTTTTCAGGCGCCACCTGCCGGTCGGCCTCCCATCACATCGGCCACCACCACCCACAACACCACAACGGCTCTCCATTCACCCCACGCCGCCGATGACCACGGGGGTAATGGTTTAGAGGAGGAAAATAAAGGAGAAAAAATCGGGGGAGGAAGTTTTAGGTATGTACTCATTAGATGGGTACATACCTAAAACCTTCGATACAATCGAAGGTGGTAATGGTCCTTCGATGACTGCACTCATATCAAAGTGTGAGGACGGGCGCTATTTTCGATGTTAAGATTAAATTTTTGTAAAAACTCAGCGACCCTCTTTGGCAGAAATCAATTGGCTTACGCCAGAAGTTGCGGTAGCCTATGTAAGGGGACCGGGAGTGTGATTTTCATTTTTTTTTTCTTTTGGAATGCAGGGGAAATAGTTAAAGAAACACTAAACTTTTGTATAGACAAAAACGCGAACGTAATTTTACCTATTTTCGGAACTCCAGACTTCCGGTGCTATGTAGACCCTCTTTTTCGTAATTTGTCTTCAGTGAACCGAAATCGGCGACTGATTAGTAATTTTAAGCTATTTTCTGTCTTTTGTTCTCTACATTTAGCGTATGGCGCCAGAAAGACACGCACAAAATTTGCATCGACTCGCACGCGAATTCTGGAATCTGAAAAAAGCAGGGGGTTTTAGGCCAACCTAGGAAAGAAACTTTTTTTGGTGATTTTTGGAGCGCAACCTTTGGAAGCTTTAAAATCGACATTCTGAGCTCCAAAATCCCGTTTTTAGATTAAAGGCCATTCAAACGGTTCGAAGCTACATTTTTTAGGCTTTTTTTTAGGTCAGATCCGGTCCAGAAATGGTTTCCGTGAATTTTTCGGGCCTAAATTTGGCAAATCCAGGCGCTCAGAAGCTTCATAGTTTTCTGTCTAGCTAGCAATTTGTCTAGCTGTCTCTTTCTGTCCGTTTACGTTTTTAGATGCAGACACAAAGAGCACTGACCACCAGCCCACCTTCCGCCGCTTCTTCTCATTGTTATCAGTCTGCCTCCTCGTCGCGTCTCGCCCCCTCGCTGACCCATCGAAACTCTCAACCCCCGCCCCGAGCGCGGCCTTTGAACTGGACCCCGCGGCAGTGATTTATAGCATTTTAACGCCCCTAAATCGTCGCTACTAGTTTACCCTTGTTTTGTGGGGAATCGATTACGCATTTTAAAGCAATTCTGCCCAAGATTTTGGAAGATTTTTAACTAGAAAAATGTGGTTTTGAGGGTTGACTATCCCCTAAATTGCCTCTTCTAGTGCCCTCGGCTTGGATGTTCGATTACGCTCTCTTATTTTTGTTCCCAAAGCGCCTCTGATAGCTTGCTCTTGATTACGGGCAGCGATTACGTTTTAGCGTTTTTTCGGATTTTTTGGCAAAAACTGATTGTGCCAATCCTGGTAATTCCTAAATGATTTTTGCTGGGTTGCCTTCGAATGGTTTAATCGACAGCGCCTTTTAAATGGATTAAGGTTCGCTTTTTCAGCTACACCGAGGCGGAGGGATACGTTTCGTGAAGCTTCTACCGCCCTCGCATCGAGCCATGGAACGCCGCAAACTCTGGGTGTTTGCCGTCACTTTTATTAGGTATATTTCGGGATTGTACGATTTAACTAGATTATAATAAAAGATAGATGTTTTAAAGCGTTTTTTAAAGTTTTAAAAGCTAAATAATGCTTTTTATTTCCTTTCAAGCCGATTTTAGATCATTTAAAAGCTTTAATTTTATTTTCTATTCGTATTATCAGGCTTTAAAGACATAGTTGAAGTTTTAAAATTGAAATACTCATCAAAATTTGTTTACCCCGATTGTAAAAACTTTCAGTTTTTATTTTGTAACTTTAACCGTATTTCAGGTTCGAAAAGCTTTAAAAAAATTAGATTTTCATCTTTAACCCTATTTTTCATTTAGTTACGGCCTCTACCACGCTTGCCGAAAAACGCTGGCCGGCGTCAAGTCGTCGGTGAAAAACGACTGGCTCTTCAATGGCTCTCATCCGGTAACCGAAAGGCTCAAACGTGTCAAATCGTCGCTTTTTAGCCCCTGTTCGAGACGGAGGTCGAGGCGAAGGCTTTTCTCGGGACGCTAGATGCCATCTTCATGGGCGCCTATGCTGCGGTAAGCTTTTTTTTACCGAAAAACATCGATAAATCCATTTTCTGAGCTTTTTTTAAGGATCTAAAACCTTGAAATATTGCCAAAATTGGTGAGTTTGGCTTTTCGGTTCTTTTGCATTATCGGGGGGAGCCCTAACTTTTTGTATAAGTCCACAGCCGCCCAGTAACTTATTCAACCTGTATTCAACTCGAAAACTGTCGAAAAACTTACAAATTTTTGAAAAGTCGCAATTTTGCGCCAAAACCGGCCGTTTTGGTCCCAAAATCGATATTTTTCGTGTTTTTGAGAGGAATTTTATTTTGCAAACTTCAATTAGTTTTCACAAAATTGCCACAAAAATTTCTTGCGTATTTAAAAGTTTTTATGGTTAGGAAGGGCTGAAAACCCCGTCTCTTTGCATGCGAAAATGGGGAAAATCCGCTCTCTACGCCCTTATATAGGCAACCACTCTGCTTCCGGCTCATGCTAATGTTTCCTAACAAGGTCTAGGAACATGATTGAAAAAACTCATTTTTTAGCGAAAATCGTATTTTTTTGATAACTTTTTTAGCTCATTGAGATGCTACTCAAAAGAAGCTGACGAGAGATTTTAACTGTTTTCCGCCATTTTCGGGCTCTAGATTTTTCGAGAACCGATTTAAAATGGTGGAATTTAGCTTATTTAGATTTCGAACGATTTACAATGGTGGCATTTCGCTTATTTTCAGGCGCTGTTCTTCTGGGGCTGGCTCGGCGACCGGCTCAACCCGAAGAAGGTCGTCGCCGCTGGCATGATCTTCAGTTCCATTGCTGTGCGTTCTTACTTCTTTTTAACCTAATCGAACGAGCTAAAAATTCTGCACAAATTATAGCTATCAAAAAGATAGCACAGCTACGGTAATCGAAAAAGTAGAGTACCGGAAAATTGGCCTGTTTTAGGTTAAGTTAAAAAATAATCGTTTTTTCATGTTTTCTCGACTAGCGTGGTCATTTTCGGGGCCTTTAGGCCCCAGTTTTGTGCAGAATTTGCCGCTCTATCGAATAGGCTTAAAGCGATTTAAAAATTAAAGTTATATGTAAAAAAATTCGTTGAATTTAGTTGATCCTGTTCGGCGCGGTGCCAAAGATGCTGAACTGGTACTCGGTGCCGTGGTACGTGATCACCTACATCGCCTTCGGTCTGCTGCAGGCGTGCGGCTGGCCCAGCGAGATTGCCATCATGGTCGGTAGTTTTTAATCGAATTTAAAAACAATATAAGGATATGAAAATTGCAAAACAAACGTTTTTCATTTTTTTGCGTCCCGAAAAATCAGTTGATTCAATTAATGCCGCTTCGATCTGCTTTGAAATTCTGAATTTTCTACGGTAATAGGTTCTACCGTCAATTTTGACTAGATTTTCGCCTAGTGGCTAAAATATAGATTTTTTAAACGTTTTAAAATTATATTTTCTGTTTCTAAAATGGAGAAATTTGAAAAAATAGGTCTTTCAATTGTGTTTTTTTGTTCTAGAAATGAAGCAAGCCTCGATCCTTCGAAATAGAGATTTTTTTAATAGATTTTAACGTTACTTTACTAATAACAATTGCTTGTAAAAAATTTTAGGCAAAAACTAGAAAACTATAAATTTATGTGTCTAATTTTTGGACTCCTGGGACCGAGCGTCTTGAATTAATGGCGTCTCGTTTCTCCATTTGTTTTTGCAATATTGATATTTTTTCAGTTTCATTTTTTCCATTGAAAAAATTGTTTTTTAAGATATAAAATAGAGGTTTTTGCAAGATTTTGACCTTGACCTCCTAATAAAAAAGGATTTTTAGAGTTTAGGGTAAAACCGAGAAAACTACAGTGCTCCACATAGTTATAAAGGCAGTAAAATTTTTCGAAAAATTTGAATTTCCAGGGGGCTTCAAGACTTTTGCGGAAAACAATTATATCCTACTATATATAAAAAAATAGTGTTTGTGTGTGTGTATATATTTGCATGCACTTCCGTTTGGATGTTCCGCACCTACAGCCTCATGGAAACATTTTTTCGGTAGGGAAGAAACGTCTTAGGGTAAAGAAGAGGCCGGAATCGACTGCACGCACATACAAGTTTTGAAAAATTGCTATTTTTGATATTAAAATTAGGTTTTTGTAAAGTTTTCGGCCAACCTCTTTGTTAGGGAAAATTAGCATACGCCGGAAGTGGACTTGGTTTATAAAAAGGAAGAGAGGGCGCGCTTTTCATTTTTTAGTGCGCGGTTTTCGGCAGGAATTAAGCAAAGTTAATAACGTCATCGATCCTAGACGGGGCCAGGGTTGAAAAGCCGCGAAGCGGTTTTTCAACCCTGGTTCCCCGTTTAAGATTGTTTCTTGTATCAGGTAGAAAATACAGCTTTTTGGTAGCCTTTTTAGTAACTGCACTGATAGAAAAATCCTACTATATATAAAAAAATAGTGTTTGTGTGTTTGTGTGTGTGTGTGTGCCACTTTGCATGCAACTTCCGTCAGGGTGTCCGGAGGATATCTCGAGAGGGAAAGGTTTTTAAGCAACGTATGATACGTCATTAGGTGCGTAATGGCTCTGAGATGACTGCACACACATCAGATTTTGCAAATTATGCTATTTTCGACGTTAAAATTAAGTTTTTGTTAGAAAATGGAGCACCCACTTTGTTAGGAATCAATTAGCATATGCCTGAACTGGCGCGAGCCTATATAAAGGGCGGAGGGAGAGATTTTCATTTTTTGTCATCGGAATTCGCGAGAATTATGCAAAATGAAGCATATTACGATGCTAGACGGGGACCAGGGTTGAAAAGACGCGAAGCGGCTTTTCAACCCTGGTTGTTTTTGAAAATGTTTGGTAAAACCAAAAAAAAAAAGATGTTTCTGGTTTTTGGGCTGCTGAAAGCCGGTTGAGGCAGTTGATGAGCAGTAATGCGCACATTCATTATCGATTTCCGAATTTTTCGCTTTTACCCGCAATTTTAATTTTGTTTTTTTTAAATGAAAACAGTGGTTTATGCCTAGCCGCGCTAATCACACACAAAAATTGCTTTAAAAAAATTTACGGTAGAAACTAGGAAAAAAATGTTTCTGAATTTTGGGCTGCTGAGGTCGAGTGTACGCGGTTAATCCAAAGTCGCGAGACACGTTCCGATTTTCCTTAGGATTCGAGATTAGGGGTTTTTTGATGGATTTGATGGATTTTTGAAAACCGAGCTCGAAAACTGGAAAAGAAAAGGTGTTTCTGAAGTTTTGGGCCTCAAAAAACGAGTTAATGCAGTTGATGGACAATGCGCATTTAAAGATGCTTAAAAATTTTTTTTGGTTATAAAATAGAGGTGATTTTTAATAGATTTTGGGCTAGCTGCAGTCGTAAAAAATTGATTTTTGAAAATCGAGCTTGAAAACCGGAAAAGAAAAGATGTTTCTGCTTTTTGGGCTCCCGACATCGAGGCCATGCAGTTCATTTCCAAAGGGGTCGGATCGTATTACTTTGTGCCGAATTTTCCGCATTTTTACAGAATTTTAGAGATTTTTGGATGGGAACAAGGGTGTTTTTTTACTGGATTTTGATTTTTCAAAACATGGCGATTTTCGTTAATTTTTTCAGGCAAACTGGCAAAAGCGCTATTTCGCTGAAAATAGTATTTTTTACATTGATAAAAAGGAAAATATATTCTTTTTTTGTAGCTGAAAAATAGGGGTTTAAATTTTGCTAATGCTTAATTGTGCTAAGTTTAATTCTCCTTTTTTCAGGCAAACTGGTGGGGCGGTGCGAACCGCGGTCTCGTGATGGGCATCTGGGCGGCTTGCCAACCCGTCGGGAACATTGTGGGAAGCATCGCCACGGCCGCCGTCCTGCCCATCGGCTATGAGGTCAGGGCGGGGGTTTTCGGGACTATAAAAAGTATTTTTGACCAATTTTTATGCCAAATTCGTGATTTTCGAGAAATTCTGCGCAAAATGCAAGCCACTGTTTAAGCTATATATGCTTTCACAATTTATTGCTGGAACTACTGTATTTTAACGCGTCAAAATTTTTTAATTTCCCCATTTCCAGTACACGTTCATCTTCAACTCGCTGCTGACGATCATCTTCGGCTTTGTCGTGCTGTGGGGCATCGACAGCAAGCCGACCTGTTCAGCTACGCCCGGATCGGATGTCGAGGGAAGGAGCGTCTCCAGGACGTCCAGGTTAGATTTCTCGAGTTTCCTGAAATTTCGTTTCTCCAGCATCTCCGAGGAGGGCGAGCCGATCGGGCTGATTCAGGCCGTTTTCCTGCCCGGCGTCTTTGCCGTGAGTTTTTTTCGGAATTGTGAGTTTAAAATATAGTCTGGATTTTGTGCATTTTTCAGACTCTCAAAACCAGAAAATCCCTCTCAAAAATTAAAAATGTAGCATTTTTTATAATTTAAAAACAACCCTGGCCCCGTCTGCCCCCATGATATTCTTGGCTTTGCATAATTTTCCCGGATTCGGATGACGAAAAATGAAAAATGCTCTCGTCGTCCCTTTATATAGGCTACCGCGACTTCCGGTGCATGCTAATTCGATCCTAACAAAGTGGGGTGTCCGATTTTCCATGAAAAACTTAATTTTAATGTCGAAAACCTCATAGTTTGTAAAATCTAATATGTGTGCAGTCATCTCCAGCCCATTAAGCACCTAATGACGTATCGAACAAAGCTCTAAGTACTTTCCTTCTTGAGATACTACTGCACACACACACACACACACACAGACACTATTTTTTTATATATAGTAGGATCTGTCGATTTCTTGCGTTTCACCATTGATTTAGCTTCGTTTTAAATGTTAAATTTCGTTTTTAAATTAAAAACCTTTTTATGGTAAAACGTATTTAAAACAATTGACCTATGAATTTTTGCGCCGATTTTTCCGAAAATTAGATTTTTATCGTTTTTATCAATGCTAAAATTGATTTAGAAGTAAAGCTTATGATTTCCTTTTTTGCAGTACTGCCTGTGCAACGCGTGCCTGAAGCTCGTCAACTACGCCTTCTTCTTCTGGCTGCCGCTCTACCTCACCGAGGCCTATCAATGGTAAGCAATCGCTGCTAGCCTGCCTCGTCTCGTTTGTTGATTCCTCAAAAATCCCCACTAGCCTGCCTCCGCTGTCTCAAATAGTCTCTGCTAGGCTGGGTTTCCTTTTCCCGAATCGATTATGCATTGAAATTCGTGCTAAATGCAGTTCAAATACTGACTAATCGGTTACACCATGAAAAGCGTCGTTTTTTTCCTAAATCGTCGCCGAAATTCGAGCTCAAATCGCCTCAAAAAAACCCCTGCTAGCCTGGGTTCGAACTTCTCTGTCTGTCGGTCTCCCTCCCTCCCTCTCTCTCTCTCTAATTCTCATTTTTCCAGGGACGAATCGAAGGCGGACAAGCTGTCAATCTGGTACGACGTCGGTGGCATCGTTGGCAGCGTGGTCGGCGGCTACGTCTCGGACAAGATGGGCTGCCGTGCGCCGACCATCTCTGCCATGTTGATCGCCTCCCTCGGTGCCCTCTGGATGTATGCACAGGTTTGAGCCTTTCAAGCGTTCCTCCGTAATTTGCTCATCTTCAGATTGGCCCCCACTGGTTCTGGAACGGACTGGTGATGACGCTGGTGGGGATCACCGTCTCCGGGCCGTACAACCTCATCGTCGGCTCGATCTCTATCGACCTGGGCAGCCAGCCGGCGCTTGCTGGCAATTCTCAGGTGCGTTTTTCTCTCGAATTATTGACGTTTGTCGACGAGTTCAAGGCGTTCAGAATTGCAAGAAACGTTTTCGCATTTTTTTTCACTTTTGGATCGCCGTTTCCGACAAATTGAAAGCGTGCAGAGTTTATTGACGTTCCATTTTCGGGTCGAAATTCGGGCTTCTCCGAACTTTGCGGCGACGTTGGTCTGAATTGGGCGTTTCCGAACTTCTTGAAAACGTCGAAAATTTCTGGGGCTCTTTTTCACGACTTGAGCGTTGAAAATGTGTTCGTCTGAACTTGCCGAACACGTCGGAATTATCTGATATTTTTAAGAATCTAGTTAATTTATTTTTTTGCAGGCAATGTCGACCGTCTCGGGCCTGCTGGACGGCACGGGCTCCGCCGGTTCAGCCGTCGGCCAGTTGATCATCCCCGTCGTGCAGGACACGGTCGGCTGGCAGGCCGTCTTCTACCTGTTCATCGCCCTCGTACGTTTTTCGCTTGTTTCCAATCAAGCCACGCCCACTTTTGTCTACAATCGTCCTTCAAAACCTGGACGTCCGATTCCATGGATTTTGCTTTTAGAAGGCCTTTAAAAGACATTTTTGGCGTTTTAAAGTATCGTGGACGACTAAAAGGGGCGTGGATTTCTGATTCTGGTCCCTTTAAACACGTTTTTAATGGGGCCATCGCATGCGAAAAGTGGGCGGAGTCTGAAATTCTGGTTTTAGAAAAGCAATCTCTAACTTTTGTTTTCAGAACGCCGTCTCGGTGCTGTGCATCGCCAAGCGGACGGTGCTGGACGTGAAGCGACTGCTGCGAGACCGCCGGCCCGAAGGCGCCCCGCTCCTCCTCGGCGAGGACAGCCACGAGGATTAAACCCAGATTTTGGTACTGTTCTATCGGCGGGGGGGGGGAGATACTGAACCTAGCTTAAAATGTGACAAAATTCGAAAATCTACCGTTTGCCGAAATTTTTGCAAAAATCGAATTTTCTGAATTTATTCAAGGAAATTCTTAATTTTTTATGAACGTTGAATGCTTAAAAACGGCGTGAAACTCTAATACCCCCCGCTAGTGGAACAGAACCTTGGATTTTTAGACCTATCGATCGGGTCGTCATCATTCCCACAGTGCAATTCCCCAGGCCACGCCCCACCCATTTTTCTTGCTGTGATTACTACTATAGTTTTATCTGGCCTACCGGTACCTTTCGTGTGTATATTTTACTGGTTTTACGCCCTTTTGGAGGGGTGTCATTAGGTGTAAAGGGGAATTTTTTGGATAAAAGATCCGAATCGCGCGATTTTTGCCATTTAGCTAAATTTTTCGCGGCTACCTTAACCTTTTTTGGCTGTGGTGGCTAGCTGATAGCACAGAGCGCGAAATTCTGACCAAATAGTGTTCGCAAAACCACCAAAAATCGTTACGGTGGCCCGGAAAAATTTCGCTAAAATTGAGAAAATCGACAACTTTCAAGAGTTGTTTTTAAAATTCGATTTCCCCCGCAACCGTAGCATTCTTGTCGATTTTTTGAGAACCGCCGTTTGCTCAGAATTTCGCGCTCTTTGCAATGCGGTGTATAGCGTCGTTTCAAAGCCTGCTGTAGCTGAAAGATTGATTTAAAAATTAAAAATCGGAAAAGTCCATTTTTGAAATTTTGGAATTGCAATTTTTCTGGGCCACCTTAATCATTCTACATCTTTAAAGTCCTTTTTTGACGCCGCAATCTTTGAAACGATGTGCATATCGTAGCGCAAAAACAATTTTCAAAAAACTTAGATTTACACCTAATTACGCCCCTTCGATTCGCACCCGTCTCTCTGTGTACTCTCTCGCTTTTTCTCGCTCTCGCCCCCGACCATGTGATAAAACGGGTTTTTCCACGCCTAGCTTTCCACGCCCCTCATCAAACCCTACCGTATCACAATGTGTTTTTTTTGTTCGTTTTGTTTAGAGCTGTGAATTTCTAGAAAAATTCGATTTTTTGTCCAATTCCCGCGCTACAGTATGTTTTTTATTCGGGATTTTCGTACTCTCCTGTTGAATCGTTTGTGATTTTCGCCGGTTTTCCTGTGCCAATTTCCAGCTGTGCGGTTTTTAAATGCGTTGCCTATGAATAAAGTGTTATTCGGTGAACGATTGTGGCTCCGTTCAGCTCGAATGATTGGCTTTGCCAAGCGTGCGTTTTCTGCGTTTTTCATGAGTTTTGTACTTTCTAGATAGTGCATCATTTGTTGCTGTTTAAACCGCGTTTTCCGGACCTGCGACGCGACCATATTTCAAAAATTATGAAGCTTTAACCTGGAAAATTCCAACTGACGCCGTTTTTCGCCTTTTAAACGTTCTAACTTTCTTTTTTTGCCCGCTTCGCAGATTCTGAAAACGCGATTTTAATTAGCGAAAAATCTGCACAAAAGAGACTTGATCCCGTTCCGAAACTCCGGTGACACAAAAAAAAACGTGATCTGCTCCTAAGCCCCCTATGCTAGCCTGGCCGTTCTTTTTTTCCACGCGCCGTACAAACACTTTACAGGCGTCTTTCATCACGATTTTCCCAGGCGATGGAGCGCTGCGTGTTCTGCGGGTGGACGCGGAAAAACGCGTACGCTTCCGTACGGTTTTTCGGGGTACCGAAGGAGCCGGGGCTGAAACGAGTGCAGTGGCTGTACGCCATCGGGAATCGAGTACGTTTTTTTGCCTTTGGCGGGCCATCCAGGCGCGAAAACTCGATTTTGGCAGGGCCTCCCTTCAATGAGCCTTTAAAACCGAAAATTTGATTTGACGGGGACCGGCAGGTCTGCATCCACCTAGGTCGCACTTCATTTTGCCTTCATCGGGCCTTTAAACCGCGAAAGTAGTTGCTTTTTTGGGGACGTGCGGAGGACCTCAAGGGGCGTGTCCTTGTGGATTCTGACTTGCTGGCCCCTTAAAACCGTTTTTTGAGCTTTCAAGGGGTGGTGACGGCAAAAAGATGGCTTGCCAATCCCTTTAAAATAGGTTTCGAGCTTGTCAAGGGCCGTTGAAGCTGGGGGCCGTCAGGGCTTTATCTATGGATTTTCAAGTTTGTTTTATTACAGGAAGCGAGCGGCAAGCACGACCGCGTGTGTTCGGTGCATTTCCGTAGTGGGAAGCCGAGCAGCGACCCCAGTCACGAGGACTTTGCCCCACATCTCTATCTCAACAAGGAGGCACCGCCCGAGGTATTTTTTGGGAGCCCCTTAAGCCTCGATTTTCATCTCTAGACAAATTATATTTTTATCCTTTTAAATTTGGAAAATTCGAGTTTAATACCGTTAATTTATTGAATCTATGTACTTGAAAAATGACGAAATTAAACTTTTTTTTGTTTCGAAATCGTTCAATTTTTTTAGCCAAATCATGGTATTATTGGATAGAATTAATGACCTAATCCAACGTAACCCTTTTTTAGTTTATCCACTACCTGGAGAAGTTGGCCGAGGTCAGCGACCCGGCACTGCAGAAGAAGCCCGCCCAGTATAAGGTAGCGTAATTCTGGATTTTTGGGATTTTTTACGAGAGCTGCACATGGCCCCGTGGCCATTTTGTGAATTTCATTTCATCTGTGATTTTTTGAAACGGTTTCTTTCAACTTTTTAGCGTTTTATACTAATTTGGCCAATTTTTAGGCGTCCGTCTCGGTGAACGACCCGAAGAAGCTCGAGTACAACAAGGTCACCCGCCCGAGCATCTTGCAGAAGCGCAAAATACAGGTACAATTTAACTGGGTTTTTAAATGGAAAACGCCTAGAATTAAAAGGTTTCGATTTTGAAATGTTCGATTTTTTATATTTTTCATAGTTGAAATATTTATTCACTTATTGATTTCGCTTTTATTTATTCATTTTTTTTTAGCACGAAGAGCCGTCCTCAGCAGCGTCCCAGATTGATGTTGACGAGAATGGCGGCGAGGTGAGCATTTTTCTTGTGGATTTTTGCCTTCGCTAGCCCTTTAAAAACTGGAATTTTATTTTATTGGCGGCTTGTTCTGTCAGTAACCTTAGCCACGCCCCCTTTTGCCTTCAACGGCCCTTTAGAACCCGATAAACCATGTTTTCGGCTTTTAAAGGACCCATGAAGGTAAAATGAAGCGGGGATTGGTGGATGGTGGTTTCAGTGGCCCTTTAAGAGCTTCAAAAATGGTTAGAAAGGGCCGGGTAGCCAAAATCCATGGCCCCTCCTGCCTTTAACGGTCCTTTAACCCGCGTCAAATTAAGTTAAATTTTTGAACGTCTTGAAATCGGTTTTTGTTCAGGAAGAAGATCAACAACCGGAAGCGGCCCTCCCCTACCACATAGCCCCCGTGAATATCGATGGCGAGGCGCGGCCGATGCGGCTGTATCCCATGCAAAAGTGTGCCTAGCCGAGATTCCTGGGGAAATTTCCGCCGCTTAAAGGGGGCGCTAAAGCCGAAAAATTTACATCCGTCGGGCCGGCCCGGTGCCATCAAATGGTCTCTGCTAGCTTGCCATTAGCCTAAGATATGGAACCGGATTCAACGTGACCAAATAGCTTGGAAAAAATCAGCATAGCATTTTGGTCGAAAATAGGCCATTTTTGTCGAAGAATCGATAATTTTCGTATTGTTAATGATAATTTGTAAAGTTTTGTGTTTAGACGCGACAATAAACAGTTTAGAAACTTTTTCTCAATTTAAATTTGTAAGATTGGAGCCATAGCGAAAACTCCCCCCTTCGCTAATGCGAAAGAACCGTAAATTCAACTTGCTAAATTCCCGGGCGTTTAGGGCAGCTAGCAGAGACCATTAGGGAATTCGCCGAACACTTTAGTAGTAATTTTGTTCTTTTTTCAGGGACTGGCTGAAGCAGACGGGCGCCGTGCCGGGGATGAAGATCATCTACCGCCTGTCGCACCCCGAGAAAAAGGCCCTCCGTAAACAGGAATTCCCCGGAACGCGCAAAAGGGAAATGGTCCGCATCCGGATGGAGGACGAGCATGGGGTTCGTGTTTTTATGTCCTTTTTTCAAAGTTTTCCGAAAATTTAATTACCTAATCGAATTTCGAAATTTGGAACTGGGCTCGAATTTTTGCTTTTTGAAAAATTGGTTTTCTTCTAATAATTAAGCAGCAATGGGACCTTTGGCTGGCTTTTAAAACCCGAAATTTCGCCAATTTTTTAATTTTTTTAAACTAGAAGCTAAAAATCTAAAAATTTTTTGTGAGGGTTATTTTTAATTTTCCTATTTTCGCAGAACATCATCGAGGAGCGGTACGTGAGCGAGGGTGACGCGCGCCGAATGCACGAGCAGATGGAGATGCATCAGGTCTGGATTCAAAAAAAAATTAAAAATCGACAAATTGATTTTTTACAAAAAAAAATATTTAATTTTTGATTTTTCCTTTGTCTGGAAAATACGTGCAGATTAAATTGCGTAATGGGACCTGATTTATGGCTTTTTTCAGCTCGACGACCCCGAGCAGTCGATCGACGTGGCCGAGGAGGTGGTCGAGACCGAGAATTGAGAGGAAATCGGGTTTAATGTAATTTTTTATGTTTTAAAGATTTGTTCCTCCTTCCCGCAATGATCTCTGCTCGATCTCCCCTCCCAAAAATGACCTTTTTTTTGCAAATAGTGCTTATCGCTTAAAATTGAAATTTTTGTAATTTTCGATTTTTTAAAATAAAATACAATCTCGCAAGCCTAAGCTGCATAAATAAATCAGTGCAAAAGAACCGCAAAGACCGACACCGCGACAGTGAAAGGGCGCTTTTGTTTGCCGGGGTTATTTCGTTATTTCGTGCCCTACGGTCCGTTACGAAATTTGAATACGATTCGGGGCATACGATCATTAGCCTGCGTATACGACTATAAAAGGCAATTGCCAGCTAAATTCCTCCTTCGACGAATTCGCCAGACCCCTGTTGTGTGGTTGTCGAAATACGTTCATGGTATGTCTGTCTCTCACTCTCTCTCTCTCTCTCTCTCTCTCTCTCTCTCTCTCTTTCTCGCTCTCCATCTCTCACTCTCCCTCTCACTCTCGCTCTCTCTCCATCACTCTCTCTCTCGTTCTCTCTCGCTCGCTCTCTCTCTCTCTCTCTCTCTCTCTTTCTCGCTCTCCATCTCTCACTCTCTCTCACTCTCGCTCTCTCTCCATCACCGTCTCACTATCTCTCGTTTCAAAATTTTCCCTACAGGCCGTCCAGACGCACCTGAACGTCAACAGACAGTTCAACGAATGGCAGGACTCTGGCATCTCGGTCGACATCGCATTCGACAAAATGGTCGAAGAGTTTCGCCAATTGAGGCACCAAGTAGGTTTTTCTCGAACCTAGTAAGGAATAGAATAACTCGAACGGAAACAAACTTGGCTGGAGTCTAGGACCCCCTTCCAGCCAGAACTTTTTACCCAGACGTCCGATCTCCAAAAAATGACCTGACTATCTCAAAATGTTCGCCGTGGTCGAAATACTATCAAAAGATTGTTTCCTTACCTCAAAAATTGTCGGACAATTTTTTTTATATCAATTCTTAGTCTGGGTTTTCTTTAATCAAATTTTGCTGCGCCAAAGTGAGTTTTCGTTTTGAAATTTTTGAGGTTGATGCCCGCCACGGGATACTTTCACGTTTTGAAATCTTGTAAAAAATTTCTAGCCGTTTTTGGCGTCAGGGAACAACTTTTTGAATTAAGTCGCCCATGGCGAACATTTTGAGATGCTGCACGCATTAATAGGACACTGGGCAGAAAAGTTACGGTCCGAAAATCACTTTTTTCAGGACCTGATCTATGGATGCTGGGCCAAAAGGATTGTCGGTTTTAGCCGCGCCCGATGCGACGCGGTCAACTCGGAGTGGTTGCATGAGAACTTACGCCAAATCGCAGCCGGCAGCCGCACACGATGCACGAACGTCTCGCAGACCATCGAAGTATCGGTTTTTTCGCTTGCGCTTCGTCAAAAATTGCTGAAATTTTTTCACCAGAGTTGAAGAGTCGGAGACACGGGCTGGACTGGATTGTTTGCGGGGGGTGTGAACCAAATTTTTCCTCAGGAATCCCTGACCACCCTATAATCGAAAAGTCTGGACCCTTTTTATAGCAATTTGGGTACTTGAGTATTTCCGGGGGGGAACTGAGTTTGGTTCTTTAGGATTCCCGGGGGGAAAGTATTCCCGGGGGAAACCAAATTTTTTTCGGCGAAAGCCTAGATTTTTGTATAAATTGCGGATGCGTTTCTAAATTGTTTTTAACTATTCCTGTGCATAAAAACTACACACATTTTAACCAAAAAAATGTAAAAAATTAAAAATTAGGTCGAAAAATAGACCCAAAATGACCAAATTTTCGACTTTTTCAAACATTTTTCTAAATTTTTCTGAAAGTTATTCTGCTTTAAATATAGTTAAAACTTACTAAAAACAATTCGAAAACACTTTATATTTGATTACTAGGTCAACCGGGACCAACAGGAAAAAATTTGGTTTCCCCCCCCGGGAATACTTTCCCCCCCCGGGAATCCTAAAGAACCCTGAGTTTTTTTGGCCCAAGCCTAGATTTTTTTTTATATAAACAGTGGAAGTGTTTCTAACATGTTTATAGCTATTCCTAAGCATACAAACTTTACAAAATTTAATTTTAGGTCGAAAAATCAATTTTTTTCGACCCAAAAAGGACAAAATTTTTTTGCAATTTTTTTGAATTTTTTTCCAACTTTTAAAAAAGTTTTCGCTATTAAAATAGGCTTAAATTTTGCTAAAAACATGGTAAAAACACTTTATATTTGATTACTATCCCCACCAGGGCCAACAGAAAAAAAGTGGGTCCCCGGCGAGTTCTCCGCCTCCCCCCGGTATACTCAAGCAACGCATTTTGCCGACGTTTTTAGGTATGAAACCCATATGTAAAATTCGAAATTTTTGTTTCTTTTTGCGGCCGGAAAATTTATATTACAAACGGCTGAAAATGTTGAAAACTACTTTGGCATTTTTTGTACATGTTTTTCGTTACTATAGCCAGCTATTCCAGTTGAAAAGTTCTCAGAGTTCCCCGCTAAAAATCCACCCCCCCCCGCTAACAGTCCAGTGCCCAGACTTACCCCTAAAGCCGTTTTTTACAGAAGGTCAACGTCCAAGTCAACTCGGCTCAGCTTCAAGAATTGCCGTGGAGAATTCGTTGTCGGTACGTCGCCGCTCACAAGGAAGCGGAATATATGGAAGGACGAACGGTGGAGAATGCAAATGATGTAAGCTGGATCATTTTGGGCTTTTTTCCCTAAAACGTATATGGTTTCGCGGTTCGCGGTTCTTGTGTTTTTGCGGGGGGTGAGGAGCCTTTATGTACATTGCTTTTGGCGATTCCCAAACGTAAAAACGTTGCAGCTTCCTAGGAAAAAGTTGATTTTGGGTAACTTAGCTGGCCAAATCCCATGCCATCTTTCCAGTTAATCCGCGATTTCTTGATCAAGCGCCGCGACTTGTGTATCCGGAACATCCTTCGTTCCACAGAAGAGTTCGTGGGTGCCATGATGGGTTACGGCCCGAAGGTAGCTTTTTTTGAAGGACGATAAATTTGGGGGGAAATGACAAGACAACTGGCCAGCACAATGCCAATCTCACATTTAGGGCGAGGCCCTTCTCGCCACCGCGGACACTGCCTACCAGGCCACCCGAGCCCATTTTGAATCTTACATGCGAGCCACCGATCGGCAGATTAATCCGGATCGTGAGGAGTGGCTGCTCCCCCTCAACCACCCAGCAAGTTTTTAAGGCCGCTTGAAGACTCCCCCCCCCCCCGATGAGTCAAAAGAACCGGGATATGTTCCGTTTTTCAGATGGAAGGCCCTATCGAGGGCCTTCTATTGGGTGGCGAAGTGGAGCAGCGCCACCTTGACGAGACGGAGCCCGAGAAGACGGTCCAGTTCGAATACATCCCCGTAAGTTTTGCGGTTCTTTAGGTGGAACCAAATTTTTTTTTAATTGATTTAATAAATGTTTAACATTTTTTATGAATAGTTCCAATTTTTCTAACATTTTTAAACTTTTTTTTGGAAAGTTTTTCGACTTTAAATCTAGTAAAAATTTAAGAAAAACTATGTAAAACACACTTTATATTTCATTGCCGGGTCACCCGGGACCGCCAGGAAAAAAAAAGTTGGTTCAGCACACCACCACCAAGCCCAAGCCGAAATGCGCTCGTCCTTCGCGGGTCACCTTCGCGGATCCCGTTGAACACAGCTCCGACTATCACGATGGCCTTACCGTAAAAACATTTTAATTATTTTTCCGGTTCTTTCGCATTATCGGGGGGGGGGAGGGAGAGCCGTTTTTCTTAGTTTTTACATTTAGAAATAGCAAAAACAGTTTAGAAACACTGTAACCATTTGTATTTGAAGACTTGGCTTTGCCCCCCACCCTCCCCCCGATAATACGAAAGAACCTTTTTTCCTTGCTCAACTCAGTTGGACTCAAGCAAATTTGGGCACAACGTTACTTTTCAGGACGAGCAGGTGCGCGAGGCCGCAATCAAGTCTTGCCAACCGGAGCCCGACGATTCTCCGCCCGCCACCGAGTACACTACCGCTTGCGAAGTGCGTGAATGGGCCTGCAACCAAGCTAGGCATAGGCCGAAGCCAAGTCTAAGCCTAGCCTAGGCTTCGGTACTGGATCGTTAGCGGGGGGGGGGAGGATTTTAAAGCTTAAAGACTTCCATTTTTGCAGGACGCGGCCATCACTGAAGTCCAGCGCTCGGAGATCCGCAACGGTTCCCAGAGCGACACGGACGTCGACAAGGAGAAGCGCGACGGCGGCGGCGGACAGCCGGTTTGTCACTTGAATTTTTTCTTCGAACTCGAATTTCAGGCCGCCGAGCCGTGTCCGCCGGCCGTGAAGAACACCGACACGAGCACTCTGGCCGCCCAGCCCGCCGCCAGCCACAACACCAAGTCGGAGGAGAAGACGGCCTCGACCACCATCGTCAAGGAGGCAGCTTCGGAGAGGGTCGCCAGCATCAACAACAACCAGGTACGACCATACGGCTTAGGCTTAGCTTCGGCTTCGGCTTAGCTTCGGCTTCGGCTTAGCTTCAGCTTCGGCTTAGCTTCAGCTTCGGCTTAGCTTCGGCTTCGGCTTAGCTTCGGCTTCGGCTTAGCTTCAGCTTCGGCTTAGCTTCAGCTTCGGCTTAGCTTCGGCTTCGGCTTAGCTTCGGCTTCGGCTTAGCTTCGGCTTCGGCTTAGCTTCAGCTTCGGCTTAGCTTCGGCTTCGGCTTAGCTTCGGCTTCGGCTTAGCTTCAGCTTCGGCTTAGCTTCGGCTTCGGCTTAGCTTCGGCTTCGGCTTAGCTTCGGCTTCGGCTTAGCTTCAGCTTCGGCTTAGCTTCGGCTTCGGCTTAGCTTCGGCTTCGGCTTAGCTTCGGCTTCGGCTTAGCTTCAGCTTCGGCTTAGCTTCGGCTTCGGCTTAGCTTCGGCTTCGGCTTAGCTTCAGCTTCGGCTTAGCTTCGGCTTCGGCTTAGCTTCGGCTTCGGCTTAGTTTCAGCTTCGGCTTAGCTTCGGCTTCGGCTTAGCTTCGGCTTCGGCTTAGCTTCGGCTTCGGCTTAGCTTCAGCTTCGGCTTAGCTTCGGCTTCGGCTTAGCTTCGGCTTCGGCTTAGCTTCAGCTTCGGCTTAGCTTCGGCTTCGGCTTAGCTTCGGCTTCGGCTTAGCTTCGGCTTCGGCTTAGCTTCAGCTTCGGCTTAGCTTCGGCTTCGGCTTAGCTTCGGCTTCGGCTTAGCTTCAGCTTCGGCTTAGCTTCGGCTTCGGCTTAGCTTCGGCTTCGGCTTAGCTTCGGCTTCGGCTTAGCTTCAGCTTCGGCTTAGCTTCAGCTTCGGCTTAGCTTCGGCTTCGGCTTAGCTTCGGCTTCGGCTTAGCTTCGGCTTCGGCTTAGCTTCAGCTTCGGCTTAGCTTCGGCTTCGGCTTAGCTTCGACTTAGGCTTAGCCGAAAGAAGCCGAAAGAAAGAAAGATAGAAAGAAACACTACTAACCCGCCCTCCTTGCAGACCCCGGTCTCCTCCCCGAAAAGCGTGCTCTCGTCCACTCTCGGCGGCGGCAACCAGGACAAGAAGATGAAGAAGACGAACGTCGGCTCGCCGCGCTCTTCCAAGGGCTACTCGTCTTCGAAGTCGACGACCAAGCAGCGCTCCTCGAATTCTTCTTCTACCAAGTCCACCCCGGCGCCGTCGCAAGTATGCAAGCAATGAATTTTTAAGCTTTTTGTAGTCTGTAGCCACAATTTAGCGCTTGTAGTCTGTAGTCTGTATGTCAGTTTAGGCATTCCAAACAAAATTCGCAAAAAAATGCAAAAACCAAAAAGTTGGCCGCGGCCGGGGGTCGAACCCGGGCCCTTCGCCTGATACCCATTTGTTGTAGTTTGTAGCGAGCACTCTAATTCTTTCGGGAATCGACAAACTGACATGCATACAAGAGACTACCAATTCTATCGAGGCAAAAAATCACCGAAAGCCCAAGTTAAGCCTGGTCCGAAAGTCGAGCCAGGCTTAGATCCAACCCAAGTAAAACGACAGCCATTTTTACAGGACCCTGCTTGGAACGATTTGTACAAATCCTTCTACGACGAAGACGACCGGAAAGACGAATCGAAGATGGAGCAGGGAGAGAAAACAGGCGCTTCGTCTGCGAACAGCGTCATCACTGGCGACGAGTTGAAGGAGGACGGAGGCGGACAGCCGGTTTGTCACTCAAATTTTTGATACGGAACCAGCCGAATAACAACGAAAGATTCCCCCCCCCCGCTAACAGCTCAGTACCATCACTCTTAGCATGGATAAGCATACATTACTTCTATTGCAGGCCGCCGAGCCGTGTCCGCCGGCCGTGAAGCACACCGACACGAGCACTCTGCGCACCCAGCCCGCCACCGCCATCCGCAACCCGAAGCCGGACGAGAAGACGGCCTCCACCACCGTCATCAAGCCCGCGTCGGAAATCGTGTCCAACACCAGCAACGAGGTACGACCATACGGCTTAGGCTTAGCTTCGGCTTAGGCTTAGCTTCAGCTTCGGCTTAGCTTCGGCTTAGGCTTAGCTTCAGCTTCGGCTTAGCTTCGGCTTAGGCTTAGCTTCGGCTTAGGCTTAGCTTCGGCTACGGCTTAGCTTCGGCTTCGGCTTAGCTTCGGCTTCGGCTTAGCTTCGGCTTCGGCTTAGCTTCGGCTTCGGCTTAGCTTCGGCTTAGGCTTAGCTTCGGCTTCGGCTTAGCTTCGGCTTAGCTTCGGCTTCGGCTTAGCTTCAGCTTCGGCTTAGCTTCGGCTTCGGCTTAGCTTCGGCTTCGGCTTAGCTTCGGCTTCGGCTTAGCTTCGGCTTCGGCTTAGCTTCGGCTTCGGCTTAGCTAGATCTCGACTGAAGCTAAGCGGAAACCGAAAGAAAGAAAGATAGAAAGAAACACAGCTAACCCGCCCTCCTTGCAGACCCCGGTCTCCTCCCCGAAAAGCGTGCTCTCGTCCACTCTCGGCGGCGGCAACCAGGACAAGAAGATGAAGAAGACGAACGGATCCCCGCGCTCTTCCAAGGACTGCTCTTCTTCGAAGTCGACGGCCAAGCAGCGCTCCTCGAATTCTTCTTCTGCCAAGTCCACCCCGGCTCGGTCGCAAGTATGCAAGCACTGAATTTTTAAGCTTTTTGTAGTCTGTAGCCACAATTTAGCGCTTGTAGTCTGTAGTCTGTATGTCAGTTTAGGCATTCCAAACAAAATTCGCAAAAAAATGCAAAACGCAAAAAGTTGCCCGCGGCCGGGGGTCGAACCCGGGCCCTTCGCCTGATACCCATTTGTTGTAGTTTGTAGCCACAACTTAGCGCTTGTATTCTGTAGTCTGAATATCAGTTTAGCTATTCACGCAGCAATTAGCGCTGTAGATGAAATTGGCGAAAAGCTAGGGGGTCATTTGTATGATGTAGCCTCAAAAATCGCTTCAGAAGTCTGCCAAGTCATCTACGAGCGGCACGTCGCGTCGATCTTCTATGCGCGGATCCACGAATTCGGCCAATACGACGAAGAAGCCGAAACGGTACGCGTCAATTTTTCAGCCTCCTGTCGCTGTGCCTTTAAAATCGTTTTTTTTCGGCAGTTGGCAAACTAGCAGAGACCGTTTAGGAAATTCCGAAACATTGCCTGCTAGCCAGTTTGACTTGAGAAAGCCCCTAAAGCGTTGCGAAGCGGTTTCTGAGCCGTTTTGGGGCATTTGCAGCTGTCGCTATCCCTTTAAAAGGCCTTCAAGGGCCCGGGCAGGCTAGCAGCGGTGATTTTGGAAATTGATAAACGGTCTCGGCTAGCCAGTTTTGGTCGTCGGACGTTTCAAGTGGAATCTATAGCTTTTAAAGGGACGTTGAAGGCACAAAGGAGGGGGGGGGCGGTGCATCGAACCTTTTACAAAGGTCCCGAAAATCCTTTTTTCTCGACATTTTACAGCGATGATGACAGCAACATTTTTACAGCGTCCGGATTGTTGTGACGCCACGCCGCTCGTCACCGCCCAGCTCGCAGGATCATGGCCCTAGCTGGTCACCACCACCATCCGATCGGACTGCAGGCCAAGAGGTGGACCAAAATTTCGAAAGGGACTGAGCTCTTTGTGGGGGGGAGACTTTTTGTTTGTCCGCCTATTCTTCTCGAATGATGATATATATATAACTTATTCTTATGGCGCTTTAGTAGTTTTTCATTGCTAGAAATGTTGCAAAATTATTTTTAAATTCGAAAATTCGGCATTTTTTACGTTTTTGTAATCCGTTTCTGATACCTTTTCACGAAGCCCCCCCCCCCGCTAACAGTCCAGAACCTTTTATCTTTACACGCTAGGCGGGCACCCTGCCTTAGCCTAGCCTAGGCTTCGGTACTGGATCGTTAGCGGGGGGGGGGAGGATTTTAAAGCTTAAAGACTTCCATTTTTGCAGGACGCGGCCATCACTGAAGTCCAGCGCTCGGAGATCCGCAACGGTTCCCAGAGCGACACGGACGTCGACAAGGAGAAGCGCGACGGCGGCGGCGGACAGCCGGTTTGTCACTCGAATTTTTTTCTTCGAACTCGAATTTCAGGCCGCCGAGCCGTGTCCGCCGGCCGTGAAGAACACCGACACGAGCACTCTGGCCGCCCAGCCCGCCGCCGCCATCCACATCGCCAAGTCGGAGGAGAAGACGGCCTCGACCACCATCGTCAAGGAGGCAGCTTCGGAAAGCGTCGCCAGCATCAACAACAACAAGGTACGACCATTCGGCTTAGGCTTAGCTTCGACTTAGGCTTAGCTTCGGCTTAGGCTTAGCTTCGACTTAGGCTTAGCTTCGGCTTCGGCTTAGCTTCAGCTTGATAAGGAACCACCCTAAGCCGAGTAACAACAAATGACCCCCCGTTAACAGCCTAGCACTCACAAGCTAAGCCGAAGCCGAAAGAAAGAAAGAAAGATAGAAAGAAACACTGCTAACCCGCCCTCCTTGCAGACCCCGGTCTCCTCCCCGAAAAGCGTGCTCTCGTCCACTCTCGGCGGCGGCAACCAGGACAAGAAGATGAAGAAGAAGAAGAACGGATCCCCGCGCTCTTCCAAGGACTGCTCTTCTTCGAAGTCGACGGCCAAGCAGCGCTCCTCGAATTCTTCTTCTGCCAAGTCCACCCCGGCTCGGTCGCAAGTATGCAAGCATTGAATTTTTAAGCTTTTTGTAGTCTGTAGCCACAACTTAGCGCTTGTAGTCTGTAGTCTGTATGTCAGTTTAGGCATTCCAAACAAAATTCGTAAAAAATGCAAAAAGCAAAAAGTTGGCCGCGGCCGGGGGTCGAACCCGGGCCCTTCGCCTGATACCCATTTTTTGTAGTTTGTAGCGAGAACTCTAATTCTTTCGGGAATGGACAAACTGACATGCATACAAGAGACTACCAATTCTATCGAGGCAAAAAAACACCGAAAGCCCAAGTTAAGCCTAGTCCGAAAGTCGAGCCAGGCTTAGATCCAACCCAAGTAAAACGACAGCCATTTTTACAGGACCCTGCTTGGAACGATTTGTACAAATCCTTCTACGACGAAGACGACCGGAAAGACGAATCGAAGATGGAGCAGGGAGAGAAAACAGGCGCTTCGTCTGCGAACAGCGTCATCACTGGCGACGAGTTGAAGGAGGACGGAGGCGGACAGCCGGTTTGTCACTCAAATTTTTGATACGGAACCAGCCGAATAACAACGAAAGATTCCCCCCCCCCGCTAACAGCTCAGTACCATCACTCTTAGCAAGGATAAGCATACATTACTTCTATTGCAGGCCGCCGAGCCGTGTCCGCCGGCCGTGAAGCACACCGACACGAGCACTCTGCGCACCCAGCCCGCCACCGCCATCCGCAACCCGAAGCCGGACGAGAAGACGGCCTCCACCACCGTCATCAAGCCCGCGTCGGAAATCGTGTCCAACATCAGCAACGAGGTACGACCATACGGCTTAGGCTTAGCTTCGGCTTCGGCTTAGCTTCGGCTTCGGCTTAGCTTCGGCTTCGGCTTAGCTTCGGCTTCGGCTTAGCTTCGGCTTAGCTTCGGCTTAGGCTTAGCTTCAGCTTCGGCTTAGCTTCGGCTTAGGCTTAGCTTCAGCTTCGGCTTAGGCTTAGCTTCGGCTTAGCTTCGGCTTAGGCTTAGCTTCAGCTTCGGCTTAGCTTCGGCTTCGGCTTAGCTTCGGCTTCGGCTTAGCTTGCTTCGGCTTAGCTTCGGCTTCGGCTTAGCTTCGACTTAGGCTTAGCCGAAAGAAGCCGAAAGAAAGAAAGATAGAAAGAAACACTGCTAACCCGCCCTCCTTGCAGACTCCTACCTCGTCCCCGAAAAGCGTGCTCTCGTCCACTCTCGGCGGCGGCAACCAGGGCAAGCAGATGAAGAAGAAGAAGAACGGATCCCCGCGCTCTTCCAAGGACTGCTCTTCTTCGAAGTCGACGGCCAAGCAGCGCTCCTCGAATTCTTCTTCTGCCAAGTCCACCCCGGCTCGGTCGCAAGTATGCAAGCATTGAATTTTTAAGCTTTTTGTAGTCTGTAGCCACAACTTAGCGCTTGTAGTCTGTAGTCTGTATGTCAGTTTAGGCATTCCAAACAAAATTCGTAAAAAATGCAAAAAGCAAAAAGTTGGCCGCGGCCGGGGGTCGAACCCGGGCCCTTCGCCTGATACCCATTTTTTGTAGTTTGTAGCGAGAACTCTAATTCTTTCGGGAATGGACAAACTGACATGCATACAAGAGACTACCAATTCTATCGAGGCAAAAAATCACCGAAAGCCCAAGTTAAGCCTGGTCCGAAAGTCGAGCCAGGCTTAGATCCAACCCAAGTAAAACGACAGCCATTTTTACAGGACCCTGCTTGGAACGATTTGTACAAATCCTTCTACGACGAAGACGACCGGAAAGACGAATCGAAGATGGAGCAGGGAGAGAAAACAGGCGCTTCGTCTGCGAACAGCGTCATCACTGGCGACGAGTTGAAGGAGGACGGAGGCGGACAGCCGGTTTGTCACTCAAATTTTTGATACGGAACCAGCCGAATAACAACGAAAGATTCCCCCCCCCCGCTAACAGCTCAGTACCATCACTCTTAGCAAGGATAAGCATACATTACTTCTATTGCAGGCCGCCGAGCCGTGTCCGCCGGCCGTGAAGCACACCGACACGAGCACTCTGCGCACCCAGCCCGCCACCGCCATCCGCAACCCGAAGCCGGACGAGAAGACGGCCTCCACCACCGTCATCAAGCCCGCGTCGGAAATCGTGTCCAACATCAGCAACGAGGTACGACCATACGGCTTAGGCTTAGCTTCGGCTTCGGCTTAGCTTCGGCTTCGGCTTAGCTTCGGCTTCGGCTTAGCTTCGGCTTCGGCTTAGCTTCGGCTTAGCTTCGGCTTAGGCTTAGCTTCAGCTTCGGCTTAGCTTCGGCTTAGGCTTAGCTTCAGCTTCGGCTTAGGCTTAGCTTCGGCTTAGCTTCGGCTTAGGCTTAGCTTCAGCTTCGGCTTAGGCTTAGCTTCAGCTTCGGCTTAGCTTCGGCTTCGGCTTAGCTTCGGCTTCGGCTTAGCTTGCTTCGGCTTAGCTTCGGCTTCGGCTTAGCTTCGACTTAGGCTTAGCCGAAAGAAGCCGAAAGAAAGAAAGATAGAAAGAAACACTGCTAACCCGCCCTCCTTGCAGACTCCTACCTCGTCCCCGAAAAGCGTGCTCTCGTCCACTCTCGGCGGCGGCAACCAGGGCAAGCAGATGAAGAAGAAGAAGAACGGATCCCCGCGCTCTTCCAAGGACTGCTCTTCTTCGAAGTCGACGGCCAAGCAGCGCTCCTCGAATTCTTCTTCTGCCAAGTCCACCCCGGCTCGGTCGCAAGTATGCAAGCATTGAATTTTTAAGCTTTTTGTAGTCTGTAGCCACAACTTAGCGCTTGTAGTCTGTAGTCTGTATGTCAGTTTAGGCATTCCAAACAAAATTCGTAAAAAATGCAAAAAGCAAAAAGTTGGCCGCGGCCGGGGGTCGAACCCGGGCCCTTCGCCTGATACCCATTTGTTGTAGTTTGTAGCCACACCGTAGCAATTGTAGTCTGTAGTCTGTATGTCAGTTTAGCTATTCACGCAGCAATTAGCGCTGTAGATGAAATTGGCGAAAAGCTAGGGGTCATTTGTATGTTGTAGCCTCAAAAATCGCTTCAGAAGTCTGCCAAGTCATCTACGTCCGGGACGTCGCGTCGTTCTTCTATGCGCGGATCCAGCTCGACCAGCACTAAGAAGACGCCGAAACGGTACGCGTCAATTTTTCAGCCTCCTGTCGCTGTGCCTTTAAAATCGTTTTTTCGGCAGTTGGCAAACTAGCAGAGACCGTTTAGGAAATTCCGAAACGCTCGAACTTTGAGGTCCCGAAAATCCTTTTTTCTCTCGACATTTTACAGCGATGATGACAGCAAAATTTTTACAGCAGTTCCGACGAGCGCGCCAAGCCGAACAACAAAAACGAGCTCGGCACGCCGTCCATCTCGTCGGCAACGTCTACATGCAAGGAGGTGCGCCAAAATTCGGACGAAACTGTGCTGTTATCGGGGGGAGGTGCCTTTCAGCAGCATTTTCAATAGCATTACGTTGCCGTTTTACAACATTTTAAACAGGTTTTAGCCATAAATAGTCTATCAAAAAAATCTGAAAAATTTCGATTTTTTTTTTGGTCAAAAACGTATGAAAAATGGCCAAAAAGGTCAACATTTTCGAATTTTTCACTTTTTTTTGTTCGCTAATTTTTATAGCTATTTAGAATTAGCAACAGCGACAAAAAGTGATTCCCCCGCCCCTGCAAAAGCTGCCCGGCTAACAATCGAGAACCAACTTTCCCGCCCCCCCCCCCTATAGCCCCCGCCCCCACCGATAACGCCAAAGCACCGTAGCGTCAATTTCGACGTTCTGGCGCCGGATTTGATGAAAGTAACGCTGTTTTACAGGCCAGCTACGCCGAGCCCCCCGGCGACGACAAGGACACGGAGGGGCAGGACCAGGTCTGATGGGCCCCCTCACGCGCTGCTACGCCTCAATTAATCGCCACCCATAAAAAGAAGCCCCCAAGCCATGCATTATCCTGCCATTAAAAATATATCCCGCCTCATTTGCCGCACTCGGCCCCCGAATAAAGCGTTCTCGTTTTTTTGTTTTGTGATGTTGACACGTTGATTGCCTGGTGCCGGGGGAAATCGAGTTTTTTTTGTGCATTCAAATTTTTGGTTCTTGTGTATTCCCGGCGGGGGACCCACTTTTTGTCTTGTCGTCCCTGGTGGGGATAGTAATCAAATGTAAAGTGTTTTCACATTGTTTTTAGCCAAAATTTAAGCCTATTTGAATCGGAAAAACTTTTTAAAAAGTTTGAAACTCTTGAAAAGTCGAATATTTGGTCATTTTTGGGCCGAAAAAATCGATTTTTCGACCTAAAATTAGATTTTTTAATTAAATTTTGTAAGGTTTTTATGTTTAGGAATAGCTATAAGCAACTTAGAAACGCTTCCGCTATTTGTATCGAAAAATCTAGGCCTGGGCCGAAAAAAGTTCGGTTTCCCCCTGCCCCGCGAATTCTTCCCCCCCCCCCCCCGGTAATACACAAGAACCAAATTTTCTTATTATTCTTCTCCCCCGCTAGGGTCGATGAAGTTATTGACTTTGCATAACGCTTGCCGGGAAAACGATCGGCAAAAAAAGAAAACCACGCCCTCCCTTCCTTTTTATAGGCCACCCCCACTTCCGGCGTATGCTAATTTCTCCCTAACAAAGAGCGAAGCCAAGATTTTTACAAAAACCCTAAGGATCCAAATTTTCTAACATACATAGCGCTAGTGCGTTTATAAAATGTTTTTTTTTTTACTATGACGAAACCTAAAAGCCTGACAAATATTTCTATTAAAAAAAATACAAAAAATATCGGCTTTTCGACCAAGATTTCGGCTTTTTCAAAAGCGTGTAGATGGGTTTTCCGAGTTGCAAGTTTGGCGAGAGATCACGAGTTTGTCGAGCCACTAACCATTAGCCCCCCCCCCCCACCTCTAAGAGTCGAGTGCAGATTGGGTATCTGCGGTGCGAATCGCCCCTCTGGTCGCCAGTCTATCGTTTCGCACCCTTGTAAGCGGGGGTTCGGGCCCGGCTAGCAGAGAAAATTTGCCTTGCCGCCCCCTCCAAACGTGCCGTTTTCAGGTGGCCGTCCCGCGTGCGCCGGTCGGCGGCCGTCCCAAGGAGTACGGGGTGAGTTGCATGGTAATGTAGTATTTTGTAGTCTTTGCATTCTGTAGTTTCCAGCTTGTAGTTTTATCGATGGTTGTAGCCTGTGGTTGTAACTTGTGTTTTGTAGTTTTTGTATTCGGTAGTTTCCAGCTTGTAGTCTGCAGCTGGTGCGTATACTTTGTAGTTTGTGGTCTTTGGTTGCAGCTGGCCGTCTTTGTTTTGTAGTTGGAGTAGTTGTTGTAGTTTGCAGCCTGTGGCCCGTAGTCCGGTGCCTCGATTTTGAAGTTTGTAGTTCTGGTCTGTATTCTGTAGTATGCATTCCCAGCTTCCGTCTGTCGTTGGCATTGTCGTTGTAGTCTGTAGTCCGGCATTTCGATTATGTAGTCTACAGCTCGGGGCCGTTCTAGCATGTAGTTTGTAGCCCGGGGGTGCGTGCGGGTGATCGTAGTTTTTGTAGTGTGTACGCTCTGTGTAGCCGGGAGGGATGGGTGACAGACTACAAACCACAAACTACAAACGAAAAACTACAAACTACCAGCGAATAACTACAAACTACAAAGCCCATGTTTAGGAGGGGCGCTGTGTCGCCTGCAAGCCGGGAGCAAAGGCGAAACCCGTCTCCCTCCGTTACTCGGTCCCAGCCTGTGTCGACCACAACAAGCGCTTTGGGTTTGTGCCCCCCTAATCTTGGCTTGCTTTGCCCTTGCCTAGCTCCTCGGTCACATGTTCCATTAATGCGCCGAGTATGCCAACATGTTCGCCACGGTCCAATCTCGATGGCTAAGCCGTTTTCATAAGTCGAAAATTGCTGAAATTATTTTTTACAAAATTTTAAAGGCCAAACCGAGTAGGTAACGGTGTTTCTGACGCGCAAACTTTCATTTTTCGGTGTTTTTTCGACTCAAATGTACTGTAGCCGTATTTTAAAGAGCGAGAGCTACATTTTGGTACCATTGACAGCTCTGTACGACAAAAGATAGCCGAGATACGAAAAGTCACTTTGGAACAGCAAAATTAACGAAAGAAAACCCAGAATTATCATTGTTATAAAAATTTTTCTAACAATTTTTGAAGTAAGGAAACAACTTTTGTATAGTAATTCGACGACGGCGAACATTTTGAGATACTTGGCGCATTAATGGGACCTGTGGCTGAGGAGTTAGGCTCCACCAAGCTTTAGCTAAAATCCCAAAAATGTAATTTCTTGAAGAATTAAACAAAATGTAAAATTCAGATTTTTTGTATGCAAAAATGTAATATTTTTATTCGGATGTTTGATTATTACTAGGGAATTATCCCCTAACTTCTCCTAATTGGCAAACACTCTGGTGCCCGGCCGCAAAATGCCCTTTTCAGGCAGCTGGCCGCCATGGTGGAGGAGGATGATCGCTGCCCGGCATATTGTACAGATCGCAGTCGGTTTTGCCTTTATTTTTACAAATATTTTACATTTTTACGATTTCGACGATTTTTAGGTCCTGTCGCATTATCGGGGGGGGGGGGGCGAAATTTTCTCCTAAAGGCCCAGAAATGTCTAGCAACGTAATAGAAGGCAGTTAATCAAAGTTTCAGCAAAATTCATTTCTTTAGCAAATAAATATAGCAAATAAATTAAAATTTTTAAATTAATTTTTACATTTTAAATTAATTTTTTTGGGATTTAAAATTCCAAAAGCAAATAATTTTAGCAAATTTTTCAAGCATTATCACCATTGTTCCGCCACAAAAACTACCCAAAAAAACATGTAACACCCGAATTTTGGTCGAAAAATCGATTTTTTTTTTCGTGTTTTTTTGGGTGAAATATTAGAAAAATTGGACCCTTGGCCAAAATTTTGATCCCCCCCCCCCCCGGATAATGCGATGGAAAACCTAAAAAAAAATTTTTATATTTGCTAATCATGTAACATTTTTGCAGAACCGTGCTACGCTTGCCGGTACGATAACTTCGTCGAGCTCGGCTTCAAAATGCCGGAGGACGAGTGAGAGCCGACCAAATGCCCCCCCCCCCCTGAATGTGCCATTAATCTTTGTGATTGGGATTTTAATTCGTTTCGTATAAGTCGCCATTGCTTGCCTATATGCCGTTGGGATGCGAATAAATTTTTAAGAGCCCGTGAAGCCAACATATGTGCACATTTAAGTTTAAACAGGTTAAAAAATCTCGGTTTTTCTTTTTTTTTTGCAAAAATCTGGCAATCGCTTGCTGGGAAATCAGACGTTTAGAGGAAAAAAACACTAAACGAAGGCTTGGCTTATGCTTGGGCTTGGGCTTGGGGTTAGGCTTAGGCTTGAGCAGCCCCCATTTTCAGTAACCGATTAGGCACCCAAAATCTCCAAAAAAAACCTAGAAAACCAAGCCAAGAATCGATTACGTTATGAAATTATTTCAACTAGTCTACCAATAATTGACCAGCCTACCAGTTTATCGATTTCCGGTTCACAAAAATCTCTGCTCGTTTGCCCGCTTTTTTGGAATCGATTAAACGCTAAAAATCATCCCCAAACCCGGGCAAGAATCGATTATGCGATCAAATGGCCTCTGCTAGCTTGCCATTCGCTTAGCTGGCTGCTAGTCTATAGATTTCCGGTTTCTAAATGCTCTCTGCTAGCCTTCCCGAAGTCTTGGAATCGGAAAAGCCTCCAAATACACTGAAATTGAGAAAAACCGCCCCTGAAAATCGATTACGTCATTAAATTGTCGCTGCTAGCTTGCCATTCGCTTAGCTGGCTGCCAGTTTATCGATTTCCAATTCCCAAAAAGTCTCTGCTAGCTTGCCCCAATTTCTATTCGCATTTTTTGGGTTCAAAGAACACCAAAAATCCGCCGATTTCCTCATTTTAGCCGTATTTTCCGGGTGACACCTCTAGACAGCAGGGGGGCCATTGTCTCCTCGAGCAGAAAATAGACATAATAAAAATAACAAAAAGCCAGATCTGGGCCCAAAAACACGCGTTGCAAAATATGAGCTCCCATTCAACAAGGGAGGGGCTGGTATTTGAACCGGAAATGCCAGAAAATATATATAAATGCAGATAAATAGCAAAAATGGGCTTTATAGGGCGCTCCGGGCTACCGTAAGCCTTAATTTTAATGTTTTGACTCCCGATTACTGTATCCTAAAGTTTTTCTGCTAGCTTGCCTGCCTTCCGGGGGCCTTTAAACGTACTAGTTTGCCTACAATGGTCCTTTAAAACAATAAAAATTGAGTGTAAAGGAACCGGCAAGTCAGAATCAGTTACACCACGCCCCCTTTTTGCCTTCAATGGACCTTTAAAAAATGTAAATTCGATTTTAAAAGGATCGGCGGGTCAAAATCCATCGCCCCGGCCCCTTATTGGCGTCTATGGGCCTTTAAAAACTTAAAAATCGATTATAAAGGGTTCGGCAAATCAGCATCAGCTAGGCCCCGCCCCCTTTGCCTTCAAGGGCCCTTTAAAACCTCATAAATCAATTTTAAAGGAATCGACAAGTCAAAAATGGTTCTCGCCGACACACTACTCTGCGTCAACTCGATCATCGGCTATTTCTGCAATGGAATCCTGGTGTACTGTATCCTGGCCACGCCCAATTCCAGGATGGGCACTTATCGGTAATTTTTGCGTTTTTCTAGCTGTCACTGCCCCTTTAAAGGACCAGGAAAGGCAAGATCCATGACGATCAGGCCGCCTGTTGCCTTCAATGGCCCTTTAAAACGTGAAAATCGATTTTAAAGGGACCGGAAAGGCAAAATCTATAGCGCTCCGCACCGTTTTTGTCTTCAACGGCCCTTTAAAACGCGAAAATCGATTTTAAAGGGCCCGGGAAGGCAAAATCCACATCGATCCAGGCGGCTTTTGCCTTGCCAACCCCTTTAAAACGACAGTAACCCGATTTTTAGTTCTTTATCTTTTGGTCATTCCGGTGGGTACGGTAGGCTACGGTAGCGCACTGGCGTACTATGGCGTACAATAGGGTGCTTTAGCGTCCTTTTTCGTACGGTAAGCTACGCAAGTGTACGGTAGCGTACGGAAGCGTACTTTGCGCTACGCTAGAGTACGGTAGGCTACGCAGGAGTCCGATAGGCGGCGTAAACGTACAGTTGCGTACTGTAGCGTAAGTTACACTACGCTAGAGTACGGTAGGCTACGCAATCGTAAGGTAGCGTACTCTAGTGTACGTACTAGTGTACGCAAGAGTACGGTATGCTACGTAACAGTACGCTGCAATACGTTACCGCACGCAATTTCCAGGTGACGTACATTCGCGATTTCTACGTCATTTTCTACTCCTCGTCCTACTTGGGGCAATGCGGGCTTGGTGAGTGGCTTAAGCTTAGGCTTATGGCTTGGATTTTCGGTTTAAAGGGGGTCGGACAGCAAAAAAATCAAAAAATGTTGTTTTATTATTTTAATATTTTTAATATTGGATTTGGTAGAGTTTTTCACGGGCTTTCCAACGCTATATAAATCATTACGCCAGCTAATCCCTAAGCCAAGTTATAGCCCGTTAAAATTCGTTCCTCTAGGCTACAAACTACAATCGCCCGTAATCCGCGTAGCAGCGTCCGATTTCGATGATTTATAGCTCATTTTGTAGCACTTTTCAAGCGCTTTTGAATGGCGAATTAAGTAAAAAGTTGAAAACCTTTTTCAGTGGGTTATCTGGCCCTTTTGGCGTACTGCTCGCTGTTCGCCCAATCCAACATGCTGCTCGCCTTCCACTTTGTCTATCGCTATATATGCATTTGCAGGTATGAAAGCAAAAATATAGGCCATAAAAAGTTAAAATTAAAATTAAAAAATTAAATTAAAGAATGTAAAAAAATTGTGGTTTTTCCTAATTTTTTATTTTTAAACATTTTTCATGTGAATTGAATTTGGGTCTTTCAGCCATTTATTTATTTAATAAAGGTGGGAAATAAACACAAATTTTAAAAATAATAATTATCTGCAAAGTAAAACTAGAAAAATTTGAATTTTTTTCGATTTTTCGATTTTTTTTATTTTTTGTGATTTTTTGGTTTTTTCGATTTCGTTTTTGGCTTCACCGCTCCTTTAGAACGGAACTGCTGCAATTCCTGAACGAGCCGGTGATGCTGATGCCGGCGATCGTGGCCTACATGTTCTACACGTGGCTCTGGATCATCTCCGTTCATCTGTTTATGGGTATTTTAGAGAGGGGCAGGCTAGCAGAGGCCATTTTGGAATTCAGAACTTCTAAACTGACATCCAGACCATCGATTCCTGCTTTAAAAAAAATTCCGGGGCAGGCTAGCAGAAACCATTTGCCCGGGTATTTGATTTGGCTCCGCTTGAGGGCAAAGAATCTTTGCCAGCTTGCCTGATTCGAGGCAAATTGTTTTTGCTAGCTTGCCATTGGCTAAACTGACATCCAGCCTACCGAATCCCGCTTTAAAAATCGACCCAGGCAAGCTAGCAGAGACCATTTGCCCGGGTATTTGATTTGGCCCCGCTTGAGGGCAAAGAATCGCTGCTAGCTTGCCTGGCCAGCGGCAAATTGTCTCTGCTGGCTTGCCATTGGTTAAACTGACATACAGGCTAACGAATCCCGCTTAAATTTCCGGGGCAGGCTAGCCGAGACCATTTGCCCGGGTATTTGATTTTGCTCCAATTCCGGGCAAAGAATCCCTGATAGCTTGCCTAGATAGCGTCAAATCGTCTCTACTAGCATGTGATTCACTAAACTGACATCCAATAGATCTGTTTCCATCATAAAAATTCCTCTAGGCAGGCTAGCAGAGGTCACCTGCCGAGTATCTAATTTCTGAGGCAAAGAATCTCTGCCAGCCTGCCTGGGGCGATTTTTTTTTCGGCAGAATCTGTAGACGGAAGGTCAGTTTGACAATTCCGCAATCTAAAGGAAGATTTCCAGCCCGGGGGAGGCTAGCAGAGACCATTTTCCCTCTTTCCAGGCAGCACCCCCGATTTCCTGGGCCGAGTCGCCGCCGATTTTCACGAATTCTCCGGCTTTTGGCCAAACGAGACGGCCGTTGTTGGGAATCAATATCTGGTGAGCGGGGGCAGGCTAGCAGGGATCTTGGAGGAAAAAAAATTAAAAAAAGGTTGTAATCTTTAAAAATTAATTTTTCTGAATTTTTCGAATTTATACGATTAAAATGTTGCAAAAAATCGTCCCCGTTCTTTTAAATTTCAAAATAATTTTATAACGAACTCGAGCTGATTTAAAATTGAATAAAAACGCAATAAAATTTTTACATTTTTATGAAATTCTAAAACACTTATTTTTAAAAAATTGTATGATTTTAGTAAAAAACATTGAAATTTCTTGTGAATTCTTGTAAATTAGATTAAAGTGGATTTAATTTTTTAAACTTAATTTTGAATATTTTAATTTTAAATAATAAATCTAATTAGATCATTTAAACTTATAAGGTTTTTTGGTGTTTAAAATCGGTAATTTTTATGATTTAATGATTTTAATACATTTTTAGACGCGCACCCCCTCCGGCTTGATTGTCAATTTCTGGCCTTGGTTCGGGCTGGCGTGTTGCGATTTGCAGATGTTTGCCGTGTTTTGCGGTAATCCATCGTTTCGGCTACGCCCCTTTTTGCCTTCCTTGGCCCTTTAAAAATGGAAAATTTTAGTTCAAGGGCCATTGAAGAGAAAGGGGGCGTGGCCTGCACGAAATTTTCCTCCAACGGCCCGTTAAAAGCGCTGCATATTATTTTAAAGGGCCGATAAAGACACAATCTGTGGCGGCCACGCCCCCTTTTGCCTTCAATGGTCCTTTAAAATGGTATAATGCAATCTTAAAGGACCGTTGAAGGTAAAAGTGGGCGGGGTCTCTGTGGATTTGGTCTTCCGTGACCCTTTAAAACCGGAAATAGGCTTTTAAAGGACCATCGAAGGCAAAAAGGGGCGTGGCCAAGTGCTATCACCGAACCAACGATTTTCCAGTGATCATCTACTGCGGCCAGGCGATGCACAAAAAGTTGACGTGCGCCCAGATGGCATCGGATAAGAGCTTCCGGCTGCAGAAGCAACTCTTTCGCGCGTTGCTCATACAGGTACGCTGTGGATTTGGCTTCAATGGTCCTTTAAAACGAAAGTTTGGGGCTTTAAAGGCCCCTTGAAGGCTTAGGCTTAGGCTTAGGCTTAGGCTTAGGCTTAGGCTTAGGCTTAGGCTTAGGCTTAGGCTTAGGCTTAGGCTTAGGCTTGGGCTTAAGCTTAGGCTTAGGCTTAGGCTTAGGCTTAGGCTTGGGCTTAAGCTTAGGCTTAGGCTTAGGCTTAGGCTTAGGCTTAGGCTTAGGCTTTGCTTCAACGTTCCTTTAAAATGGAATTTTCGCTTTTTAAAGGCCCATTGAAGGCAAAAAGGCTATGGATTTGGCTTCAATGGTCCTTTAAAATGGAATTTTCCCCCTTTTAAATTTTTTTCGAAGGCAAAAAGGGTGAAAGGGCGTGGATTTTTCGCTTCAACTGTCCTTTAAAATGGAATTTTCGCTTTTTAAAGGGCGATTCCAGGCAAAAAAGCTATGGATTTTCGCTTCAGCGGTCCTTGAAACTGATTTTTGCAGTTTCTCGTGCCGGTGTTCCTGGAGTTCCTGCCGTGCTCCGGGATCTTCGTGCTCCCCCTGCTGGGGCGTGAGATCAACCTGGAATGGTCGACAATCTGCATCTCACTCTACCCAATATTCGAACCGATTGTCGTCATCTACTTCGTCAAGGCAAGCCGAGAGAGGCCATTTGAGGGTTGTAGTCTGTAGTCTGGCTGCCCGTTCAGCCATCCCGATCTAGAAAATGGCTCAAAACTCAAAAAGCAAAAAGCTGGCCCCGGCCGGGACTCGAACCCTGGACCATCGCCTACTACCTTTTCTGTAGTCTGTAGGCTCAAACAAACGATTGTGGTTGGTAGTCTGGCTGCCAGTTTAGCAATCCCCGTCTAGAAAATGGCTCAGAATCGATAACTCAGGAAGGTTTGCTGCGGCCGAGGCCCGAACCCGGGTCGTTCGCCTCGTAGGGATTCTGTATTTTGTAGCCCCAAACAAACGATTGTAGTTTGTAGTCTGGATGCCAGCCAAGCGATCTCGCGTATTTTCAGGAGTACCGCATGACGCTATACAAAAGGCTGCTCCCCAAAAGCGTGCGCATTAATGGCATGTGGAACACGTCGATGGCCGAGGTACGGGTGTAGTTTGTAGCCGCTCTCCGTCCCTCTCCAGCTGCCAGGTGGCCGATTTTCATAGTTTGGGGCAAAAGCAAAAAGTCCGCCGAGGCCGGAGGTCGAACCCGGGTCGTCAGATTGGCAGGCAAGGTCACTAGCCACTCGACCACCGGTTTCAGGGCCGAATTCTTTGCAATTTTTTTCACTCTAAACTATAAAAAATTGCCTAGACGTCTATCGCGACGACCGAAAAGCGGAAATCTACCGTACGCCCGGCCGCGAGAAGCGTTTGCTGAGCCAAATAAAAGTTATCTTTCACGCAGATTTTGGACTTATTTAAATTTTCAAATAAATTGTTTGGCGGAGTGTCGAAACAAAAGAGAGAGAGAGAGAGAGCGAGAGAGCGAGAGAGAGGAGAGAGAGAGAGAGAGCGAGAGAGAGAGCGAGAGAGAGGAGAGTGAGGGAGGGAGAGAGTAAGAGAGAGAGATAGAGAGAGAGAGAGAGAGAGTGGGAGAGAGAGGGCGATAGAGAGAGAGAGAGAGAGAGAGAGAGCGACAAAAACAATAAGATAATAAGATAATAGAGACCACAAAATTAGCATAATTGTCGGAATGCATGGGCTGAATTTCCGGTTGCTTGTAAATGTAGTTCCTCGCTACCCTCCTTGTCACATTCCGTTCGACCCGTTGTGGAGATGCGCTCCCTTTCCCTGCTCGCCCTTCTCGTGCTCCTCGTCGCCGTGGGCTCCGTCGCCGCCGACGAGCTGTCGACCATCGGGCCCCAATGGAGTACGTCATAATTTGATTGTAGGGCCCAGTATATAAGTTTAGTTTGTAGCCTGGGTGCCAGTTTAGCAATTCCCACCGAGTTTTGTAGCCAATTTGCAAAAAGCAAAAAGTTCAGCCGCGCCGGGGACTCGAACCCGGGCTGTTCGCCTGGCGGCCGATTTGTAGTCTGTAGCCCAGGGTTTCGCAGCGGCCTACCAAGGCACTCACCCTCCCTTTTTTTGCAGTCCGGTACAGATGCGACGCTGTCAAGAAGGAAGAGGCGTGCTTGGCCAATCCCCCGGAGAGCAACAACGACAAAAAGGCGTTCTGGTTTGGCGTCAAGCACGACGAGGAGGACAAGTTATTGATCTACCGTGGGTGTACAGTTGACTCTCGGTGGCTAGACTCGAGTTTACCCCCCCAGCCGTAACTTTTCAACCATACGTCCTATTAATGCGCCGCGGATCTCAAAATGTTCCCCGTGGTCGAATTACTATAAAAAAGTTGTTTTCTTACATCCAAAATTGTTAGAAAAATTTTTATAACAATTATAAGTCTGGGTTTTCTTTAGTTAATTTTTGCTGCTCGAAAGTGACTTTTCGTATCTCGGCTATCTTTCGTCGCACAGAGCTGTCAATGGTACCAAAATGTAGCTCTTGCTCTGGAGAATAAGCCTACAGTACGTTTGAGTCGAAAAAAATAGCGGAAAATAAAAATATTTGAGTTTTAGGCTCCTGGTACATTGAAGCACAGCGGCTTAATCTTTTCAACTTTCAAAATCTTGTAAAAAAATTTCTAACAATTTTTGAGGTAAGAAAACAACCTTTTTAGAGGAATTCGACCACGGCGAACATTTTGAGATACTCGGCGCATTAATAGGACGTATGGCTGAAAAGTTACGGCTGGGGGGGTAAAATAGAGTCTTACCGGCAAGCGGGCCGTTCTTTATGATTCTAGCATGAAAACTTATAGTTTAACGACTCAAAATGTAGGAAATGATCTCACAGAATCAAAAATGAAGACGAAATCGCGGAATTCTACTTTCGAAAAAAGTTATGAATTTTACAAGGTTTTCGCTGCGGGAGCCGACAAAAGTTTCGACCAGTTCGACCCGCGGGTCGAATAACAACTCTAGGGGAAACCAATTTTTTTTTTCCTGGCGGCGCTGGCGGGGATAGTAACCAAATATAAAGCGTTTTCACATTGTTTTTAGCAAGATTTAAGCCTATTTTAATTGGAAAAACTTTTTAAAAACGTTTGAAAAACGTTTGGCTAAATTTGCTTATACGGTCACCTACTCAAAACATAACTTTTAATATGTCAAAATGCTCAGCAGGACAAGCTGGTGCGAGATCCGTTGAGAAAACTTGGCGGCAAAAGCTCTATCTCGAGATACATGACTTCGTAGTTCAATATTCTGACTGCGAAACATCGGTTTTCGTTGATCGATAAGATCAATAACGGTTCAATACAGACTTTACTCAACACACCCAGTTTGAGCCTAAAAATAAGGCTTCGTGGCACCCAGGGCCTAGTCGCTTCGGATGGGTGCGAGCTCGTACAGGGTTTCGAAATCGGGGCGCCAAGGCCGGCGAAGCGGCCGGGGGCGCCGCCATTTCGAAAGAGTGGAGCGGCAGCCCATCCGAAGCGACGGCCCACCTTGCCTGACCATGCTTTAGAAAGCCAAAAGGATGTGTGAAAAAGTAAATGTGGGTTTACGAACGTTTGATCAAATACGTAGGTTTCCGAACTTTCCTCTGGAATTCGTACTGTCTTTTGGTGCTTTTCGTACTACTGCCGCACTCAATATTTCGCCATTTTGTTGCTTTTCTTTTGTAATATCTCGAAATAGAGCTTTTGCCGCCAAGTTTTCTCAACGGATCTCGCACCAGCTCGTCCTGCTGAGCATTTTGACATATTAAAAGTTATGTTTTGAGTGGGTGACCGTATAAGCAAATTTTCCCAAACGTTTGAAAACGTCGAAAATTTGCTCATTTTTCGGCCCAAAAATGAGCAAATTTTCGACTTTTTTAAGAGTTTTTCAAACTTTTGAAAAGTTTATGCGATTCAAATAGGCTTAAATTTTGCTAAAAACAATGTGATAACACTTGGTATTTGATTACTATCCCCCACCAGGGCCGCCAGGAAAAAAAATTGGTTCCCCCCCGGGAATACGCAAGTACCCAACTTTTTTATAGTAATTCGACCACGGCGAACATTTTGAGATACCCGCCGCATTAATCGGACGTATGGCTGAAAAGTTACGGCTGGGGGGAGGGGGGTAAACTAGACTTTAGCCGGCTTTTTTTCTCCGGCCACCCCATATTTTGTTGGCAGAGTGCAGCCTGGGCGAGTCGTTCTGCATGTCGATGGACGGGGTGCAGCTGGCGGAGGACAAGATCGGCTGCTACGGCAACTACTATGGCCTCCTGGGCTGCCACTGCGGTGTGTCGGCTCAATCTACTATAATAATTTTGCTGTGGTGTCCGTCCGTCTGTCCGGTGCCGCATTCAACTCGAAGGGGTGGGGGGGGGAATGCGCTAGAGCTAACAAGGGGATGGTCTCAGCTCGGCATCGAATTTCGATTTGAAAATTTGCACATTGATAGAGCTCGACGAGACGAATCGATCGGTGTAACTTTCAGCAGCAGATACCCCGAACTAACAAAGTTATAAGCATTTTAAATGCCTTTAAATTTTCAACACCAGGAGGCCTTGCGAACAATAAAGCAGCTTTGGAAAAATTAAAAATTTTGTGCCTGTGGTTACCAACCTTGCCTTGCCAACTTACAAAATTTCCAAAAATTTTAAGTAGTGGAATATTTTGCTGCGAACGCTTCCTGGTGTATACTTCATGCCTAAAAAGTTATTGAAGGCCTTTAGAAGGCCAAGAGGAATCTTCGGACAAAAAAGCAAAAAATAAAAATCTGGAGCGGGTTCGAACCCTCGTTAGATTCCCCGGAGGCCGCCTACTACACCACTAGGCCACCAGACCGCGGTGGTGGGGGAAGGGGGAATGCCTATGAAGGTAGGGTGAAGAAAAGTCAAAATGTATGCAAAAATTTAAAATGCTTATAACTTTGTTAGTTCGGGGTATCTGCTGCTGAAAGTTACACCGATCGATTCGTCTCGTCGAGCTCTATCAATGTGCAAATTTTCAAATCGAAATTCGATGCCGAGCTGAGACCATCCCCTTGTTAGCTCTCTTCGGATTCGGATAGAGCGTGGCCAGCAACCCCGAAGCAGATAACAAAAATTACGGAAAAGTTTTCGTTTAAATTCTTAAAATTAACTGAAAAGTTTTTTCCTTAGTAAAAGGGGGGTCGGGGACGGAGGTTGGGGTGATTTTGGACATAGTGAGCCAGGTGGCGCGCGTTTCGCGGATGAAAATTTTCACTGGAGCCATTCCATTTATTTTTTCTCTCATTTCATCCGGTCGGTCGATTTTTTGCTGTTTTTTTTTGCAATAGATTCAGCTCATTTTCTAGGTACGATTTGGCATTTGCAAATTCAAAATCTGCCACTTTTAGGTTTCTGGGCCAGTCTCGGGCTGTTTTGCGTGCAATAAAGACTTTATAGCGGAACTCGGGAAACCTTGTAGCATCCACCAATCACCACTTTTATAGAACAAAGCAACGGCACCACGCCGCACGATTTTCGCAGTCGCGGTGGGTCGTTCTCTCTCTCTCTCTCTCTCTCTCTCTCTCTCTCCTCTCTCTCTCTCTTTTCCACTCTCTCTCCCTCTCTCTCCCACTCGCTCTCTCTCTCTACCACTCGCTCTCTCTCTCTCTGTTTCTCTCTCTCTCTCTGTCTCTCTCTCTCTTTTACACTCTCTCTCCCCCCTCTCTCTCCCACTCTCTCTCTACCTCTCTCTCTCTCTCTCTCTCTCTCTCTCTGTTTCTCTCTCTCTCTCTCTCTCTCTCTTTTTTCCACTCTCTCTCCCCTCTCTTCTACCACTCTCTCTCTCTCTCTCTCTCTCTCTCTCTCTGTTTCTCTCTCTCTGTCTCTCTCTCTCTCTTTTTTCCACTCTCTCTCCCCCTCTATCTACCACTCGCTATCTCTCTCCCTCTCTCTCTCTGGCTCTCTCTGTCTCTCTCTCTTTCTCTCTCTCTGTCTCTGTCTCTCTCTGTCTCTCTAACTCTCTCTCTCCCACTCACTCACTCACTCACTCCCCCCATTACAGTGCACCCGGACCATCTGACCCTGTGGAAGTCGCTCCAGCAGCAGCCGGGCGAACTGGTTGGCCTGGCCACCATTGATTGCATTTTGTTCATACCCAGAAGTGCGACTACTTCTCGGCGGCGCCACCACCGACGACGTCTGCTGCCCCCCTCCCGCCCTTCCTGGCCCTCCGCCACTTCGCCGCCTTCGTCATCCTCATCTACCATGCCCCTCGATCGCGTTACTTTTAGCGTGACACCGTGGGGTGTCTGTGCAAAATAAACGTTTTCGTTTAAAGGGGCTCGGAAGTCTAAATCGGCGCGCGCGGGGGGGATTCAACCCCACTGGCCAAAAAACGAAAGCGTCACCGCCGAGAAGGGTTAGGGAGGGGCTGAGTTTACCAGCTCCCCAGCTCCTCAGCCACGGGACCCCTTAATGATCCGAGTATCTCAAAATGTTCGCCGTCGTCGAATTACTATACAAAAGTTGTTGCCGAACGCCAAAAATTGTTAGAAAATTTTTTATAACAACTGGAAGTCCGGGTTTTCGTTAGTTAATTTTTGCTGTTCCAAAGTGACTTTTCGTATCTCGGCTATCTTTCGTCGCACAGAGCTGTCAGCGGTACCAAAATGGAGCTCTCGCTCTGGAGAATCCGGCTCCAGTAAGTTTCAGTCAGAAAACACCTCGAAAAACGAAAATATTTGAGTTTGAAACACCGGGTCTACTCTACTATTGCGACGTAATCTTTTCAACCTGTAAATTCTTGTCAACGTTTTTCTAACAACTTTTTTCAATGTTTTCAGGGACCAAAAAGCAAAGGGTTAGCCAGCGCGAAGATTCGCAGCCGAGGCCAAAAAAATGTTAAAAAGTTGATAGGCAAGCGCGGTACCAATACGCCAATGCACAACCTGTGACAGAGGCCGTGGCGGAATGTTATGAATGGCGCGTTGTCCAGCGCCGAAAACGAGGAAATGGACCCGAAAACAGCTATAGATGCATGCTCGAGATGCGTTGATTGGAAAAGCGAGGGATTGCAATATAGTGTTTATTTATCGTCCTGGGCACCGTCAGTCAGCGCTCGGCGAGGCCAACCAGAATGAACCCCAACGATCATAGGCGAGGCGACCGCCGATGCTGATGAGGATGACGATGAGCACGGTCACGACAAGGGCGACGGTCGTCCAGACGCCGGCGGACGCACCATTCTGAAAATGATTCTTACAGACAGCGGGCAACGGGCCAGCATCAGTTATCTGATACGCTTCCT